CCATTTAGGGGGGCACGGGGAGCTGGAATTTCAAACTTTTCGTAAGTGTCATATAAGGAAAGACATTCTTACATTGATGGTGTGGAGGGGGGGGGGGGCTAAATGGACTTAGATAAGAATTGAATGGCCACTCAATGCATATGTTGTTAAGCATTTTCAGTAAGGACAACAATAATACTACATAGTGCATAATAAAGACTTGCATATGTCCCATGGACCCCATATTAAAATTCTCTGAATGAAAGTTGTAGAGATTTTAACACACACACACACACACACACACACACACACACACACACACACACACACACACACACACACACATATATTTTTTTTTTTCATAAAGTTATTGAATATGGTTAAATAATCAATTGACCATTTCATCTCATGGGCGAAAATCGTCCCAAACTACGCTACCAACATTTCGAGCCACGAAATTCGAGGAATTGTTCACAAAATAAATGGTTCTGCTCTCCACTGTCGCACTCTTCTCTTTTGCTCTGCATTTTCTGCCATAGGCTCTACTAGAACTGTGGAAGACGAAGGCTTTCGACAAGGATCTGTTCGTTGAGGCACTTCGTGTGGACAGGAGTCCCGCAGATCTAAATGCGGACGAGCTGACAGAAACGTTAGTGAGAGCATGTGACACGACCATGCCGAGGAAACTGGAGCCAAATAACAGACGGCGTCCAGTCTACTGGTTGAACGAGGCACTTAGCACTCTCCGCGCTAGTTGTCTCAGAGCCAGAAGACGTGTTCAGAGAGCAAGAACGGAAGCAGACAGAGAGGAACGAAGAGAAGTGTTTCGAGCGGCCAGGGTCGCACTTAAACGAGAGATTAAGCAGAGCAAGTCGAACTGTGTCGAGACGCTGATGCCAACCCCTGGGGCGACGCATACCGTCCAACGATGCCCGCTGAAATGTGCCCAGAGAAGCTGAAAGTCATCGTGGAAGGACTTTTCCCAAAGCACGACCCAACAACCTGGCCACCTACACCGTACGGAGAAGGAGAGGGAGATAACGTCGAAGTCACCAACGAGGAACTCGTAGCAGTGGCGAAAGGATTGAAGGTGAAGAAAGCTCCCGGTCCAGATGGAATCCCCAAAATAGCGTTGAAAGCGGCGATCCAGTCATCCCCGGACATGTTCAGGATGGTGCTGCAGAAATGCCTGAACGAGGGTCACTTCCCTGACAGGTGGAAGATACAGAAGCTAGTGTTGCTGCCGAAAACAGGAAAACCGCCGGGGGATCCAGCATCGTACAGGCCTATATGCCTGCTGGATTCACTCGGAAAACTCTTGGAGAGGATCATCCAAAACAGGCTGACGAAATACACGGAGAGTGAGCACGGATTGTCGGAGAGGCAGTTCGGATTCCGGAAAGGGAGATCGACGGTGGATGCAATTCGGACAGTGGTCGAGAGAGCTGAGAAGGCGTCTAAACATAAGCGGAGGGGAGATCGATATTGCGCCATGATAACGATCGACGTCAAGAATGCGTTCAACAGCGCCAGCTGGGAGGCCATCGTCGAAGCACTGCATAGAATGAGGGTCCCTGACTACCTGTGCAGGATCCTGAGGAGTTATTTCCAGAACCGGGTTCTGGTCTACGAGACAGACATGGGACTGAGATCGATTAGGATCACAGCGGGAGTTCCACATGGCTCCATCCTTGGTCCAACGCTCTGGAATGGGATGGACAACGGCGTGCTAACGCTGAAACTGCCCAAGGGAGTTGAGATCGTTGGCTTTGCGGACGACGTCGTCTTGAAGTTAACAGGCGAGACGCTGGAAGAGGTGGAAGTGTTGTCAACCGAGGCAATCGACATGATTGGTAACTGAATGCAAGGAGCGAAGCTGCAGATAGCCCACCACAAAACGTAAGTGTTATTGGTCAGTAACTGTAAAGCGGTACAGCGGGCAGAAATCACCGTCGGGGAGCACACCATAGCCTCGAAGCGTGTGTTAAAATACCTGGAAGTGATGATCGATGACCGGCTAAACTTCAACAGCCACGTCGAATATGCCTGTGAGAAGGCTTCGAAGGCCATCAACGCGATAGCTAGAATCATGCCAAACAACGCTGGTCCCTGCAGTAGCAAGAGGCATCTTCTGGCCAGCGTGTCATCATCGATACTGAGATATGGAGGTCCAGCCTAGGTTCCAGCGCTGGAAACGAAGCAGAACCAAAGGAAACTGAGCAGTACGTTCCGGCTCATGGCCATGCGAGTCATGAGTGCGTACAGAACCATCTCGTCGGAAGCAGTATGCGTTATCGCCGGTATGATCCCAATCGGCATCACCCTGGCGGAGGACAGCGAGTGCTACAGGCGGAATGAAGCCGGAAGAGTACGGAAAGTTGTGAGAGTGGAGTCATTGGCTAAGTGGCAACAGGAGTGGAACACGACGGAGAACGGTAGATGGACACAAAGACTAATACCAACAATCAATACGAAACTAACGATTTTAAATTGGCTCACTACTTGACTAGCCTATTGGTCCCAAGCAAATCGACTAACGTACCCCATTCTAGTATAAATTCCAGTACTACACTATGTTTGTTTTGATTCGCTATGAAAGTTTGACAGATAAAATTAGGGGTTCGTGGATTTTCCTATGTTTCGAGGGGTGAATCGATTAGCTTGGGACCGAAGATAGTACCAGAACTGAGCCAAAAAGTTGAGCTCGTTTATTCGGGACCAATTGAATCATATAGGCTGACAAAATCGGGTCAAAAAGCTGAAAAAATCGGGGGTAGACAAAATCGGGGGCTGACAAAATCGGGTCACCACTGTATATTCATTATTTCGCTGCGGAAGCATAAAGAGGTTCCTGAAATTTCAGAATAACTTCGAATACTTCACAGAAGTACAGAGATCTTCAGAAACATTTCGAGAACTTCAGGAACTTTTATGGACATTTCGGGAGCATCTCAAATAAGTTTAGTTTGGAGCCTTACTAACAAAGTGAATTTCAGGGGAGTTCAGTTCCATTAGTTTCACTAAATTAGCGAGAAATTTCCAGAAGTTCCCAGATTTTCGAGAACTTTAGAGATGTTAAGAAAATTATTGAGGTTTTCACATAGGTTCATAAGTTCACGCAAGCTTAAACATTTTTAGAACAGTTCAATTAAATGCATGGTAGTACAACGAGCTTCATGAGAACTGAAAACACTTTAGAGAAGTTTCGAGAAATTCGAAGAAGATATTGAACTCGCTAATAAAGCTCTAAACACAGAAAAAACTTCAAGAAATAACAGACATCCTCAGAGCAGAGATGTTCCAGAGCAGGAAAATTACATACATTTTAAAAAAGTTTCGAGAAATTCAGTAAATTGTTAACACTTTAGAGAAGATTCATGATCGTTAGGAAAATTGTGGAAACTTTAGAAAGTCCGAAAAAGTTTAGAGAAGTAGTTTCTCAAACTAAAATAGAACTTCAAGGCAGTTTAATTAAATTCAGGAATATTTCGGGAACTTTCAAGTAGTTATGAAGACCTCAGAATAGTCCATTCCATATTCAACGGAGATTTCTCATGAAAATTCGCTTGGAGTTTACTATCTTAGGCTCAGGCTTCACATGAAGTCTAAAATTCCTCAGAAGTACCATGAAAGCAGATTGCAGTTGATGTTTTTCTCATAATTTTTTTCCCAGAACACCCGTGGAATGGGTCGTTAGAAATTATAATAAAATTCCATGAGCCTTAAACTGTTCCAGGAATTTGAGTCCAGATTCTTTAAAATTTCTTGAAGTATTATAACTTTTCAGTTCAGAATTTATAAAATTGGTGGGAAATATGCATATTCTATAAACAAAAAAAAAATCATTTGAAGCCTCTGAATTCTAAAAATGTATTTTTTACTGAAGATTAATCCATTCTGGATCTATAAAGTTCAATTTGTGGAAGAAAATAGCTAGGAATATTAAATGTTTTTATTTTAAAATTCCCTGATTCTTCCAGGTATTTTCAGGAAAAATAAAATTCCCTGCGAATTCCCGGTTTTTCAAGTTTTTCCAGGTAGTAGGAGCTTGGAGGTTTAGTCATAAACTATCTATTGAATCTTTCGCTTTAAAGGTTCCTATCGTACATGTGTAAGTGTTTATGAGAATCTAATTGAATAAATCTAAAACATCAAACATTTATTTGGAATGCCATCAGAACGACTTATTTTCTTCCCTTGGGTCACTTTTTAGTCACTTTTTTACAACTATAAGTCACTATTTGGTCACTTATTTCTTCAACATGGTCACTAAAATCACTATTTTTGACAGCATTGATCGCTACCAGCCCTGCTAATGCTGTGTTCAAACTACAGAGTGATACCATGTTTTATAACAATTATCGACAAGAAAAATTTCATCAAGATAGCCTTATAACATATTACAACTCTTCAGTCTGGGCCAGTGTTTGATCCATTCAGCGTCACACACAAACTCACACATTATTTGGTACAAGAAAAGTAAAATGAAAATAGGCAACTTGACAAACAGTATCAACCGCGTGCAAAACAAAGCATCTTCAGCTTCCTTCAACGCCTTCAACAGATCAGTGCACTGCATACCACACAATAAAGAATGAAAATCATGGTTAAGGTCACGCACGTAACACACTGCACGACGCGCCACACCCGTCTCAGTGACCGCACCATACCCGAAGTGGATGTGTAACGAAATTGGAATCATCATCGTTGGCTCGTCGGGCATTGAACATCACCCCTACACAGCAGTCAGCACCCACAGACTCCCACTTGTACGATGATGAGAAAACCGCAACATGGCCGATCATTGCCCTCAGCTGTTTTTCTTGTTGGGTGGGAACCGAAGGAAATGCCATCATTATGAGTCGGTCTTCTCTTTAATGGCGTAAATTTTGTACCTACCTGAAGACGATTGATGGCGGCGTTTTTTTTTTTCAAGGCTTAGGAGGAGGGAGATATATTTTAATTATTTTTAAGTTTAATGTGACTGTTAAAATCTAAAATTTCTTCCTTCTCACTTTCAGGTCGCCATGGTTGAAGTCCAGCTGGACGAACATACCACCGTCCCGCCCAGTATGCTGATAGCATTCGCCATCTGCACCACGCTGCTGGTGGCGGTTCACATGCTTGCCCTCATGATCAGCACCTGCATCCTGCCGAACATCGAAACCGTGTGCAATCTGCACAGCATCTCCCTGGTCAACGAGTCGCCCCACGAGCGGCTCCACTGGTACATCGAGACGGCGTGGGCCTTCTCGACCCTGCTCGGGTTGATTCTGTTCCTGTTCGAGATTGCCATCCTGTGCTGGGTCAAGTTCTACGACCTCAACACGACGGCCGCCTGGTCCGCGTGCATCGTCCTCATCCCAGTGCTCGTCATATTCGTAGCCTTTGCGCTGCACTTTTACCGATCGTTGATGACGCACAAGTACGAGGTGACCGTTTCCGGCATCCGGGAGCTGGAGATGCTCAAAGAGCAAATCGAACAGGACCACTTGGACCACCATCACCACCACGGGCCACCTTATCAATCCGTTCAGATCGTTTGATTTTTGAAAGGCAATTTGTTTCAAAATATATTCATCCACCTCCACGGCGGCAACATGCGCGTGAATCTGTGATTGTGATTTCTATTTAGTTTTTCGTTGAATCTTTATTAAAGTCGATCTTTATCTTTATTTTTTTACTCTCGTTAACGTAATAGTTTTAAGCACCGGATAAAGTAACCTCATTTCCTGTTTTTCCTTCTGCATGATAAACCAACAGAAGATGAACCCTTCCACCCTAGCCACTACTAATATTGTGATTATGCGCTTATTCGAAGTGAACGAAAGACATATTATACCCCCCATAGTTAGACTACGAATGATCCACTATTTTTATGTGTTTTTTTTTCGTTCAAACTAGTAAGCTAATGGAACGAATGTTACGTTAAGTAAGTTTCTTCCCTTGTAGAAGTTGCAAGTAAAATGCGGTGTCCTGTTTTCAATTGTATTAGACACAGGACGCAACCATGATGGAGCAAAGTTGAAATGAGTTACGTTGGTTGTAAAATAATTTTCATCAAAAATAAATCCACTAATTTAAAAACTATAAAACAATAAAAAATATTTTATACAAAAACGATGTTTGATTTCACCTGTCATAACCTGATTCGATAAAATCAAAATAGGCGTTCCACGAGCCAAACGACGAATCGAGAAAAAACTAGACTTTCCCGATTTTCATGTTTGTTATGGACGATGATTCTTTTAGCGGCGCCGGTGGTGTAGTGGTAAGCGTGATAACCTCTCACCCTAGCAGGCCTGAGTTCAATCCCAGTCGGCGCCGCCGGTATGTTCTGAGGGATAACATCTCTGATCACGCCTTCCTGCGGAAGGGAAGTAAAGACGGTGGTCCCCGGTTCCATGAGTTTGATGGGTCGATAGGGTAGAGGGTCCAGGTGTGGGAGCTGCCGCCCTGACGTCGTTAGCATTGGTACTCAGCACGGAAAACAAATCAAGGAAAAAATGAAAATTGCTAAACGTCAGCCATTCTAAATTATTGTAAAGTTTTCAAAATGTCGTCTTAAGGTTAAGCGCTGGCCAGACTGAGCAGACAACTGTTGCCAATAGGCTTGTCAAGTAGTGAGCCAATTTCAAATCGATAGTTTCGTATCGTATTGATTGTTGGTATTATTAGCATATTTCAAGCTGAACATTGCATTAGGTCCTAAGTAACATTGATCGATTCTCTTCGTCGACTTTTTCATCCGTTAATAACTTGAGCACATAACCGTTTCTTGTTGTGTTTGTCTTATTAGATGCTAGATAAAAGCTTCTTTTATCGATCTGTGTGCTGAAAATACCTGGGAATGTCATTACATGGCCGTCCCAACAAACAATTCAAAGTCACAAATAAGCATACATATTGAATAAATGCTGTATAACAGTGTACAATGCTGAATAAAACAGGATGTCGAAATATGTGCTGAAAAAAGCTCATTGAGATCGATAGATGCGCCTTTATTCCGCCGTTTGCTCTGATATGATTAATTTCCTTATTAAAAGCTTTATAAACGTTGACTGTCTTCCTTATTCAGAACCAAAAGTTTGATCTAATAACAAACTGAATAAGTGTAATTTGCACATACATTGTCGCTTTAATTCGACTGTTTTCAATTGATTGAATAGAATGCTTTATTAAACGTCTTATAAATGTTTTCTGGCTCCATTATTAGATTTCATTGCATTGCTTTACAATATTGCTGTATAAAGGTGAATACACTCAGCAAAATAGCTCTTATACCACCCAACAAACAATTCAGAGTCACAAATAAGCATATATATTGAATAAATGCTGTATAATAGTGTACAATGCTGAATAAAAAGAGTTGTCGAATTATGTGCTGAAAAAGCTCATTGAGAACCATAGATGCACATTTATTCAACTGTTTGCTGTGATCTGATTAATTTACTTATTAAAAGCTGTAAAAGTGTTAAATGTCTTCCCAATTCAACGCCAGAAGTTTGATCTAATAACAAACTGAATAAGTGTAATTTGTACATACATTGACACTTTAATTCGACTGTTTTCAATTGATTTAATAACATGCTTTATTAGACGTCTAATAAATGTTCTCCAGCTCCTTTATTAGATTTCATTGCATTACTTTACAATATTGCTGAATAAAGGTGAATACAGTCAGCATAATAGCTATTATACCACTATGCGCCCATGTTGTAATCAAATGATTTGTAAATGCTTTATAAACGACGTATTAGATTCATTATTCGACAACACTGATTCAATCTAACAACAAGGCGAAATCAGTAGAGTAGTGGTTACCGTTTCCGATTTCCAATTAGAAGGTCGTGAGTTCAATCCCAAGCTTAACCCTTTTTTTTATTTGTTTTCTACATCTAATTAATTTAAATAGTAATCATCGATCACATGACTCACGATAATGAATGCAAATAGTTAAAAAAATAACCTTCCTTGGGATTGGAGTGGTGAAGAGGTAACATTGGTCTCATGTTAAACAACGATGAATGAATTAATCATTCCCACAGGGCCTTGAAGGAGCTAGAGTTGCGATCGGGAGTGCTGATAGGTATTTACTTTCATGCAAGCTTTTATTGATTATTGAGTTGCCCATATGATGAATTCTAGGATAGCTCAGATGACAAGGCAAGCGGCTGGTGATCGAAAGGTACATGGTTCGAATCCCATACAACAACATGTATAAGTATTTATAAATTTTCTAATATCTGTGTGGTGCGAGCAACGTCAGAAATAATGGATACAATTAAATTACACTTAAGAAACACACCCTTCCTTCCCTGTCTGTCCCCGTCCCATCTTATTTTCTGGTTAATTTTCCCACAGTTGAATAATCGTTTAATAAATGTATAATAATGTCTAATTAAACGTTACTTCACATGAAAATCAAGCGTATACAGAGCAATCACTGTTTAAAAAGGAAGCAGTGATGTCTAATAAACGCTGAATAATCAAAAATTTTATCGTATGAACTCTGTTACAACTCATATAAGTCGAATAAAAGCTTCTCGACATACCTTATACAACAACACCAAAGTAGTTCAATGTTGTGGTTGAATAAATTCTCCAGATTTGTGTTAACAAAGCCGGAACAGAAGTTGTTATTAAAAATAGTACAAGTACTATTAAGCATGCAGTTGAATAAAATGGCTAAGAAGTCGTTTCTTCAATAGACGATTGTTTGTTGGGGTGAGGTTACAAAGAGAAAGTCGACGAAAAGAATATGTCAATGTTACTTAGGACCTAATGCAATGTTCAGCTTGATTTATGATCCTGCATATAGCGTAGTACTAGAATTTCGACTAGAATGGGCTACGTTAATCGATTTGCTTTGAACCAATAGGCTAGTCAAGTAGTGAGCCAATTAACCATTTTATTCGAGCACTTAAAATGACGTTTACTACCACTCGAACTTTGAAATAAAACATTATTTTGAGATTTTTTCTTCTAGAACCTCGAGAAAAGTAGCCAACATTTGTGCGTTTCATAAAAAAAATTGAAATAAGTTGGTCCAGTTTTGTAAAATCACTGGTAGAAAGTCACGCCAAAACTGCTTGACAAAGTGGTCAATTTAAAATCATTAGTTTTCACCGGTTGTTATAACTCTGTAGTCTGAACAAGGCATTATACCAACCGTTGAAAACTAACGATTTTAAATTGGCTTAATCTTGACTAGCCAATTGGTCCCAAGGAAATCGTTTAACATACCCCATTCCAGTCGAAATTTTAGCACTGCACTAGGGTTTTTGATCTAATTTCCGTCTTACTAAGCACAACCCACGCTTTACCTCTCTTTCTTGAACGGGTTTTTATCAATAAATGAAATGTTTCTATTAAAGATGACTTCTAAATTTATTCCCCTTCCCAGAAGGTCCCGAAGAAACGAGCTCAACTTTTTGGCTCAGCTCTGGTACTCTTTTCGGTCCCAAGCTAATCGATGCACCCCTCGAAACATTGGAAAATCCACGAACCCCTCGTTTTATCTGTCAAACTTTCATAGCGAAACAAACATAGTGTAGTACTAGAATTTATACTAGAATGGGGTACGTTAATCGATTTGTTTGGGACCAATAGGCTGTGAGCCAATTTAAAATCGTTAGTTTCGAATTGATTGTTGGCAATAGTCGCTTAACTCGATTTGTTAACATTTGTTAGTAAGGACCTTTTGAAGAGTGACACGAGAATTGTAAATACACACTTCGGAAAATACAAAAAAAAACGTAAATCCTGAGAACTTCGAGATTAGGGCGTAATTGACCACTTTGTCAAGCAGTTTTGGCGTGACTTTCTACCAGCGATTTCACAAAACTGGACCAAATAATTTCTATTTTTTTTATGAAATGTACAAATGTTGGCTACTTTTCTCGAGGTTCTAGAAGAAAAAATCTCAAAATAATGTTTTATTTTGAAGTTCGAGTGGTAGTAAACGTCATTTTAAGGTGATACTCTAAGGAAGCCTACGCGTGAAACTTTAAAGGCACAAATGTCAGCTTCCACAAAACATACAAATTTGAAATTGCTACTCCTTGTTTGCTGTGCTCAGTGGTGGCACGAATACTGGAGTTTAACATTTTTTCCTAAACATTTGATACTTTTTGCGATAACCATTGTGACGACACACAAAAACAAACTGGCAAGCGGCAAAAATGTCAAGACCGGCGGCGCGCGCGACATAAATTTATGTCTTGTAGAATTTTGCTGATTTCTGGCTAATTACTGCATTTATTTGATGTTTATTGCATGGAATTAAAAGATAAGAATGAAGACTGACCACTCATAAGCATTGATGTTAAAATTATGCGTAAATAAGGGAGTTGGTAATTTACTGTCACACGCAAGCCTGCAGCTAAAATTTCATTACAATAGACTGTTTGGAAAAATCAGTCTGCGAGATTTTATTTATTCTCTATCTCTGCTGTTCGCTTGGAATGTAGTTATAAACGGCCGCCCGTGTGCTGGCTGTTTTGTTTCGCTCTGGACGATGGTTTTTCAAAAAATGTACTGTTGCCACCTCTGGCTGTGCTACTACAAACAGAGAGTCGCAATTTCAAATTTGTATGTTTTGTGGAAGCTGACATTTGTGCCTTTGAAGTTTCACGCTAAGGCTTCCTTAGAGTATCACCTTAAGTGCTCGAATAAAGTGGTTAATTGCTTTTGTAAGCAAACACGTCATTTGCCGATTTCTCGCGAATTAAAGCCTAATCTAAAAAATTAACAACACATACAGGTAGAGGAATGCTTCCTCTATCGTTTGGTATAGTTTGATCGCGAGATTGTGATTTTATACGTGAGAAATCAGCGATGGAAGTGTTTCTTTACATACACCCCTATTCTGTATTTCGTTTCGAACGAAATTCTCATACAAAAAAATATTTTTTTGTATGAGAATTTCGTTCGAAACGAAATACAGAATAGGGGTGATAAGCAATTACACCCAAATTTCAAAGTTCTCCGGAAATGTGAGAAACCCTAGTTACCCAAATTTCAGTTGTTTTAATTAGTCGTGTATTTGCATTTGGTCTGTGAATAGGTCGTATGAATAAAAGCGTTTACTTTACTTTTCCCGTAAGAAAAGCACGGGA